GGGGGCGTGGCGGGCGAGGGGGAAAGCTCCGGCGAAGAGGCTCGGTTCGGTTTCGCGAAAGAAGGCTGGCGGCTAAGTTTCGCGAATGGCTTTGTGCGATCCGAGAGGTAGCCGACGGGAGGAGGAGATGGCACCGGCATTCGCCGGCGTGGAGCGACGGCCGGCGGGCTCCAGCCTCGAGCGGTGGACGGCGCGATCGGAAATGTCGCGATCGCTCGGGAGCGGAGGCGGTTTCTGTGTCGCGAACCAGAGGGAGAGAGGAGGGAGATGCGTGCGTGAGTTTTTTTAAATATATAATAATATAATATATCATATTATAATAATAATTATTATTATATTATTATAATTATTCTTCGTCTATTCTTCACCCGTATACGTCCTCGCGGCGAAGTGAACATCCTTCTTGCCTAAAATCGACGTTTCGGACACAATGTCCATTTCATCATCCGGGGTCATCTAGACAACTTTGTCGATGATCGGGTCAATTTGAGTCAAATTCTTGCATGGCGCGCGATAACAAATTTTCACCGATCACAAGTGGACACCTTATACTTATGACATCCAAAAATTGATGCCAACAGATGACTCCATTTCGTACCTTGCCACCGATCACAGGATATCTCACATGTGGTTGATTTATACTTCATGGAGATCATGAGGCTATATGGGATACCTAAGACCATTACATTTGATAGGGACATTGAATTTCTGAGTCATTTCTAGAGAACCCTGTGGGAAAAGCTTGGTACTAAACTGCAGTTCAACTTAGCAATGCATCTGTAGATGGATGGTTAGTCGGAGGTGATGAACAGGAGCTTGAGAAATTTTCTGAGGTGCTTTATAGGAAATAACATCAAATAGTGGGACTTGCTCCTAGCCCAACCCAAATCTTTCTAAAATAGTTTCGTGAGCCAGAATACGTGATACACCCCTTTCTAGATTGTGTATGGATGCAATCCGCTCACTTTGCTTGAGTTAGTACCAGTTCTTCCAAAGTCAGATGTTAGTGCGGATGATGAGGCAAGGGTACAAGAGATTCAAATGACACACGAGGAGTTAGAAAAAAAGATCACTTAGTAGAACCATAAGTACTAAGCGCAAGCTAATAATACAAGGAAAGAGGTTACGTTTCATGAAGGAGATCAGGTTGAAGAAAGGGAGATTTTCAATGGGATTGTCAGGAAACTCAGACCCGGAGCAGATGGATATTTTCAAATTCTCTAGAAGTTATAAATGACAACATCTACAAGATCGACGTATCAAGAGATTAATATATCTCTACTACATTCAACATGGCAGGATTAACTCCATACTATGAGGAAATAGAAGTTTTGACATACTAGGTCGAAGCTCACCTAATCTGAGGAGACTGAAGTTGGCGTGTCTTTCATGCAAGACGTGGGACACAACATCGGAAAGCTGTCGAATCGGTTGCATGAACCATTCATGCTAAGGGAAAAAAGGGTTGCAGGATCTTTCCTTGATGGGAATTGCCGCCTTACTTAGCGGCCCATCCTTAGCTACTCCAGTAGCGTCCATATGTTGTTTTCCCATGTTTAGATAAGTTTTTGCTTTTAGGTTTCTGTCGGGACAATCGCCTACATCCAGTTTTCCTTCCTTGGGTTGTATATGAAGGTAAGAAGCTGCTAAGACTGTAACTCTTCCCAAGATAGTGTTTATCTATCACTCCCTACTTCTCACAGCCTCTTCTATGTTGTTGACATTATCGTGGCCGCTATTGTCTCTCGGAAACAACCTTCTTGTTGTTTCCATGCAGCCGACCATCCTCCCCAGCCACAAAAATTTTTCTGTGCGGACTTCTGACGTAGTTCTACGTGCGGCGCAGGGTATTCCTGAGTTATTTTCAATAATCTCAAAATAACCCAGAAATAACCCACAGTGTTTATTTTTGGGTTATTTCAGGATTATTGAAAATAACCCAGAAATAACCTGAAAATATTATTATTATTATGACACTTCAATTGGGATATCATTATTATTATTATGTCCCCAGATCTCCTCAGACACCTTTTTAATTTTTAAAATATTAAAGAGTTTAGCAAGCCAAGAAACTCTTAAATCTCCTATATATTTTGACACTTCAATTGGGATATCATCAGGTCCTACAGAATTTCCACCATTGGTTCTTCCTAAACCCTCCTCAACTTCTTTTTTATTAATGTGACGGTAAAAATGAAACATATTATTATTATTATCGATATTATAATTATTATTAAGGATATTAAGATCACTAAGGTCCATCGTATTTTCAGAAATTTCATTAAAAAGTTTATCAAAATAACACCCACCTATGTTGAATATTATTTTCTAAGAAAAACATTTTTAATTTTCTTCTTTAATACACTTTACTTGAGTTAAATCTTTACTCTTCTTTTTTCTTTGTTTTGATTGTATTTTCAAAAGCTTCATTAAAAAGTTTATCAAAATAATTCTCCTACTCATGTTGAATATCTTTTTCTAAGAAAAATATTTTTTAATTTTCATATTTAATACACTTTATATATATATATATAATCCTTTTTAGTATCTAATTTATTATAAATATCACTATAAGCAGAATTTTTAACGTCACGGATTGTTCTCTTAGACTCTCCATGGGTTATTTTATATTTTTCTCAATTATCTAATTTTTGCATCTAAGCCAATTTTTATAACATGACTTTTTATATTTTTTCTTTTCTTGCACATTCTTATTCCACAACCAACTATTTATATTTATAGAAACTTTTCTTTTGATTTTCCAAGTGCATCTTTTGTCACTTGTTTAATAGTGTTTGTATTTTATCACAAATAGAATTTGCTTCTTCATGAATATCCAAAATCTTGAAATCATGAAGTTTACTCGTAAAAATAATTTTATGTGTCTTTTAGGTATCTCCATATAATTCTCCCTCATCTAATTCTACGATGATGAGTCATAGTATTCTTTATTTTACAGCTCTTCATCTTAAAATCTAGAACTAATAATCGATATTGAGTACTTAAATCCCCACTTTAAATGATCTCACAATCTTTTCATTCCCGGCGATTTCTTCTCATAAGAAAATAATTAATTTGTGTTTTTATTAGATCCATTCTTATAATTAATAATATACTCATCACTTTTCTTGAATAAAGTATTAAAAATAATAAAATCATATGATAATAAAATCATATGCTAAAAGCTAAAACAAAATCTAATATAACTCTACCTTCTTCATTAATCACTCCAAAATCGTAACCGCCATGAACATTTCTAAAATCTTCTATCACTTTACTGACATGTCCTCTTAAATCTCTTCCAATGAAAATTATTTCTTCAAGTGGTATCTTTGTATTAAGTTTTCTAGGTTATTCCATAATTTTTCGTTAAAACTTATATCTAAACCTATTTGAGAAGCCTAAGCACTTATAATATTAAAAATCTTAGTATCAATAATAATCTTAAGGGTTATAATTTTATCTCTATTTCTATTAATCTTTACAACATTATCTTTCAAACTCTTATTTATAATTATAGATACACAATTTTTAGTGTGATTCCTTTCTGAATACCAAAATTTAAAGCCTAAGTTATCAATCTCTTTATCTTTTTCTTCAACCCATTTAGTTTCTTCAATACATAACATATTTATCTTTCTATGATTTTTAATATCAACCAATTTCATTAATTTGCCTGTGAAAGTACCTATATTCCAAGTTCCTATCATACTATTACTTTCATTGACTAACTTCCTTACCCGCATTCATTTGTAAAGTGGGAACCCATGCTTATTTGACACTAAACCTGTGCGCCGGCGTTGCTAAAATTGAGCTTGAAGGATTATGAAGGAAAATATTAGAGCTAAGATAATACAGATAAATTTTGTTTAAAATAATGTACGAAGAACAAGTTTAATACCACTTGAGGTGCTCGACTCAACATAATGAACACTATCTTAGGTTTCAAAGCTGAGCTTAACAGAATGGATAGAGCTAATGATGATGCGGGTGATGAGGGAATTATAGAACTGTTTATTTATTTATTTATTTATTTATTTTTGTACATAAACAATGCAAAACTTAATCAGTTTATCGTCTTGTATTGAATGAAATTTTTAACCATGATGACACAAATGGAGAGTGCTTCGTCTTCATATTTTTAAGTTTGTACATGACTTGTGAATATGTGATACATTTGAATATCTGATGTGTAGTACAGTGATTGCTTATTGTTTGCCTTGGTGAATGCTATTGTTGAGTAACATTTCCAGATGTAATTCAGGTTCTCCAAGACCTCCTTTTGATGATCTTATTCAAAGAATTGCTTCATTGAAAGACATTGACAAAAATACGAGCTCACCTGCAGTAATTTCTGTTGATATTCCGTCCGGCTGGCATGTTGAAGAAGGAGATATTAGTGGTAAAGGGATCAAACCCGACATGCTGGTTAGCTTCTGTTTTGAAATTTCTATCATAACATAGTCTGCTTCGTTATTGACCTGCCTCATATTTTTTGCAAGTCAATTATTACATGAGTTAATGGATATTGTATTTTTACTTTCACTGTAAGTCTCCAGGTATCATTGACAGCTCCAAAACTCTGTGCGAGGAAGTTTGCTGGTCCTCATCACTTTTTAGGTGGTAGATTTGTGCCTCCTTCCATCAAAGAGAACTTTCGTCTCCAGCTTCCTCCTTATCCTGGCATTTCCATGTGTGTGAGAATTGGAAAGGCCCCTTCAGTTAACATCTCAGCTCTTAGGGAAAACTATGTTTCTCCCGGGCTGCTTGAAAGCCAGCTGTTGGCCGATCCTACTGATCAGGCATGTAATTTGCAGAGTTCTCTGGTTCTGAAAGAGAAAACCATCCAGTTTTAATAAATATACCTTTTTCTCAACTGCTTTACACTAACATTGGTAGCTTGTTTGCTTAAATTATACTTCTGTGTAGTTCTGTAAGTGGTTTGATGAAGCTGTTGCAGCTGGCTTACGCGAGCCTAATGCCATGGCCTTATCAACCTCCAACAAAGATGGAAAAATGTAAAATTTTAGCCTCTTATTATTTCTCCTTGATCCTAATTTAATCGTTTGTTAAAGACATACTAATTAACACGAGTTATAAATCATATCTTCCCTGTACTATTTTGGCAAGAAACTAATTTTAGGTGTTACTTGCAGTTCATCACGGATGGTGCTTCTAAAAGGAGTGGACAAACAAGGCTTTGTTTGGTCAGTCTTCCCTTCTATTTGATTTTGATAGTTTTTGTTTTTTTAATTCTTATTTCTGCTAAATGTTTGTTCTGATGCGAGACACCGAAGAGCTGGAAATTATTTCTGAATGAATTGTCTGTGAGATTAAGCTTTATTTTACCTTGTATTTTTCTAGGTATACAAATTATGCAAGCCGTAAAGCCCGAGATCTGGCTGAAAACCCTTTTGCTGCACTTCTTTTCCATTGGAATTCTTTGAACCGCCAGGTATAGTATTCTTTCTCTTCTAAAAGGCACTTCTTTTATAGTTGAAATCATTAAACCGCCAGGGTTAGTTTGCTTTTTTCCTTTTTAAGTGGCATTTTGTGGAATTTTTTTTATTGGAATTTATAGAAGATAATGCCCTGTTTGGGATCACTTTATGTTTTGTGTTTTTTATTTTTGAAAACAAAAAACAAAAAACAAACCCAAAAATACTATGTTTATTCATTTTTTTTTGTTTTGTTTTGTTTTTAAAACACATGAGACTTGTTTTCAAAATATCAAAAACACAGAAATTGTGTTTTTGTTGTTTTAAATACATATTTTTCAGAGTATTACCTGTGCGAGGCTCCGCCCGCCTGCCGCCTGCCACCTTTGTCAGCCGTCGTTCGCCTGCTGTCGGTCCCTACCAGCCGTCGGTCGCCGACCCCCTCCAGCTGCAACTGATGCCCTTCGCCCGCCCACCCACATATTATGATTCATGTTGGGTAGAGCAAGTAAGATGTCGTATATGCTATGGACAACAGAGCTTGATACTGGCGCGCACGTGGACCCAATCATTTTATAAAAAGTATAATTTTTTGTTTTAAAAAAATAAAAAATATCCAATCAAACATATTTTATATTTTATTGTTTTTAAAAACAGATAAATTATAACGATATCAAACACATTTTTTAAAATCAAAAAACAAAAAACAAAAAATAAAACAGACTAAAAATAAAACAAAAATAAAAATAGAAAGGCCCTAAGTTTAATATGTTTTCTTCTATATGGAGGTATTTCATGCCTTGCCAATGTTGCCATCTAGTGGTTGCTCTGTTTTCTTGCAGTACGTGAAGCTCTTCTTGTACTGAAAAGTGGAATGGAGTTATCTAATTTGTTTTTTTGTTTCAGTAAAAATGGTAAGTGAGAGGCGAGTGAAGCTTTCTATTTGTGGCTAATAATTTGGCTATGCTTGTATATATGCAAGCATCACCTTTAAATCTCCATTTTTTTCTTGAAATATAACAGGTTCTTATCGTCCTTTGTTGGCATAGGAATTAGAGAAAAAACTTAATCCTCTATGAAACTACTGCACAATTTCCACCAGCTAAGACTTAATTCTCACCAAAACTTTTACCCTCTTCTCTTTTGGCATCTCATTGATCCGTGGGATCCCTACTGTCTTCTCGTCAATCCATGAACTATTGTCATTATTTTGCAATTACATATTCCTTAATTTATTTTTTTCTAATAATTTATTTCTTGGGTTTATATAAATTTTATGCATGTTGAAATGAAATGCACTCAATCAATTTTATTCAATTCTTGTCATGACATCAGAGTTAATAGACTTTTTGTTCTCATTGTATTTCTATTAATTTTATTGTTTCATTTTCTTTCTTTTTTCTCTTATTTTTCGTTAACTCTAGTCTTCATCATTTCATTGGAGGCAACTTATCACATTATTTTAGGGGATATTCTTAGAAACAAATCCTTCACATTTTGAAATGTTCTTCATGCACCAAAATTTTTTATCTACATATTACATTCAAATTTTATTTAAAGAATTTAAGTTTTCTGTTGGATTTCATCTTCTATATTGTCTTTTGTGAACATTGCATGATGAGGATGATTACATTTGCTAAAATAGGGATGGTTTTAACAGATGAATGAATCTAATTATAAAAAAATGTTCATATAACCTTCAGTCTTATTTGTTCTCTCCCTTAAATTCAATAATAATAATAATAATAAAAGCTTTGATAACTATGCCTGGACTACCCATCCTGTATTGTTCTTGAGATCATCTCTTAGGGATCATTTGGGATCACTTTTGTTTTTTATTTTATTTTATTTTGCTGATGTTTTGATTTAAATCAAAACATGTTTGATTGAGCTAATTGTTTTTAAAATCACTCAAAAGTTCTTTTAGATTTTTTGAATTAAAAATAAGTTGATTTTTTTAAAACACAAAAGAAAAATATGTAAAAATTATACCGGCCAAATATATTTTCAAAAATAAAAGAAAATTTGAAAACAAAATAAGAAACAAAAGTGATGTCAAACAGACCCTAAACAAACTTTCTTTTAGAAAACTAAAGAAAGAACAAAAATAAAAAATAAAAATTGTTTCCAGACAAGCCCTTAATTATTTGAAGAAATCAACATCGTAGAATTTCATTATGATGTTTGTGATGTAGCAAATTTAAAATGTTCCAAATTTTCAATGAGTTGCATGAGAATTAGTATTCTTGTGTCTATTATTCATTGTGACATTTGTGGATCAACCTACATATCTAATATCTCTAGGAGTCCATGATTTCTATCATTTTTCGTTGATTATGTTCATGTAATTATTTTTTTACTAAAATCCTAAATTGATGCACGTATCATGTTTTTCAACTTTATCAAAAATTATTTTGTGTTAAAATTAAAAAGGCTCAGATCTAATATTCGCAAATCCTATTTTAAAAATTTGCTCTCCTATTACTTCCAAGGCAAAAGAATAATACTTAAGTTCTCTTTTGTGTATAAACCCTATGAGTGGATAAATGAAAAAAACCTCTTGCTGCCATAAGGGTTTTTCTTAAAATATTCCAAAATAATATTGGGAAAAGCTATTTTAGCAACAACTTATACCATAAACTTCTTACTTTAAGGGTCTTGGGTTCATTGGTGTCCACATATGTTCTAATCAAATTCTTTCCTCCCATAAATGCTTTTGGCAAACTTATTCAATAAATATTTTACAGTGTTTCCTTAATGCCAAAATAAAGAAAAACTTGAACTTGGATCAATTAACACAGAAATAATATGCTTTCATTGGTTTCCTTAATGCCATAAATAATATGCTTTCAACAATTTCCTTAATGCCATAAATAATATGCTTTCATTGGTTTTCTCTCTCACAAAATGGTTCAAATGTTATCATCCTCCCACGAGAATGATGTATGTATAATTGTTGTCACTCTTTGATGAATATCATTATTTTGTCAACTGTTTTTTCTTCCTCATCTCTCATCCAACACAGTTTTATTTTTGAACCCATCACACCTACTTATGCTGAGCATGTACTAGGGCCACTTTCTACCCATGCATTACATATTTAAGAAGAAATGCATCTTAATCTACATAAGGTATAAGAGATGCATTCTTATTCCTGAATTCACTGTGGAAACGATTGAACCCACAAAAAAAGATATAAGAACTTTTACTAAGCATCTCTTGTACTTGTTTATATCATACAGAAATACTTTTCTTACTTATTTGCATACTATTAATTTTCCTAAAATAGTTTTTGGGGCCTTAAATAATGTGAATTGTAATAAATCTATAATGGAAGATGAAAATATGTGAATTGATAAATGTGCTAAAAGGGAAAAAACCAAGGATGTACATGAGTTTTCGATATAACATACAAATTTTATGGCTCGCTAAAAAAGGTTGAAAGCTAGAGTTGTGATTAAAGGCTACAATCAAACATAGGTGATTGATTATACTGAAACTTTGTTGAAGTTGTTAAAATTAATGTTGTTCGAGCTCTGTTATTTGTAACAACTAAGAAGGACTAGAAAATACAACAATTCAATATGAAGATTGCTTTCCTACTCATTATTGATTTGGAGGGGTAAGTCTACATGGAGTTCTTATGTGGATTTGGCTCAAATACAAAACAAAATGTAAGTTTGGAAAGGCATTGTATAGATTGAAGTAGCCTCCGTGATATGCTTAAAAGATTTTCTAAAATATTGCTTAACATATGTGACAATAACACATGGCGACAATACCTTATTTGTGAGATACATGGCTTCAAGGGGGTGTCTCTACATTACTAATTTATTTTTGAAAACGTTATCGTGGCATGCAAGTAACTTGGAAGGAATGGAGAATTTTATTAAAATATATATTACTCCAAGAATTTGAAATCAAAGATATGGGTAAGCTAAAGTATTTCTTAGGCATTCAAGTTGCGTTCTCTTGAAATAGAATTTTCATAATACAATTAAAAAATATAACAATATTATTTAAAGGGAGTTAAGTTAGGATGCAATCCTATTGAGGTCCCCATGAAATTTAATCAAAATTTTGGAGATGTTCCTATTGGCACAATAGTTGAATTTTTTTTTATTATTGATTTGCGAGAAGATTTATCTATTTATTACATAATAGACCTTATATTTGCCTACTTTGTTTATGTGCTGAGTCAATTCATACAAAATCATAAAGAATCACAGAAGAATTTGACAATGGAAATAAGCATAGATGCACATTATGGGGGTTCTGTAGGTCGCATGAGGTCAACTTTAAGATATTGCTCATTCTTTTAAGGTAAGCTTCTACCTTGGAGAAGTAAAAAATTATAATGTTACAGTAAGATATAGCATTGAAATTTGCAATTTTCTATAGCAAAAAATTATCTTAGAAGTTTTAAAAGCTGAATAGAAAGGTCCTAAAAGGCTCTATTATGATAATAAATTAGCCAGTAATATTGCACAATCCAATGGTACATAGCCGTTGTTTACCCCAAAGGCAGACTTGCCCAAGTTGAAAGCCGGTAGGGCACACTCGCTTAGCCAAAATCAGAGAAGAGCTCATCGGGTTGGGGATGGAACCATCAACCAAACTTACAAAGGTGCTTGTCAGCAGAGAAGAATAACTTGCAATTTGAAGCTCGTGACAACTCAAACCCTGAGTTCTAGAAGGATTCACTAGGCAAGGTTCAAGGAGTAACCTTTAGGGATTAAAGCACTCATGATGCACTCACCCAAACCTAGAGACATTCCTAGAATCTATGAGCACACTTCTTAAACCATTAGCATTCGCTCGATCACCTGAGTTAAAGAGTCTCCCGACTCTATTGGATTCATCCTCCCCTCATGGCTGTTCGCTTGAAATATAGAGTCTACTTAGATCCAGTTGGTCAAGCCACCTCACTCGTCAATCAGAGACTCATACACGCACCAAATTAAACATGGGAACTGAGAAATTCTGGCTTAGGATCCAATCTGAAAGCTACAACCCTCATCTTTGCAGGAGAAGCTAAAGGCCCCCGGTTAGTTGGCAGTCTGTGCTTAACAGTGTCGTCTTTTACCATTAATTTTTTGCTTGAGTTTCATTACAAGGAAAAAACACTTTGAATGAGCCTTAATAAATAGAAACACTCATATCTTTCTGTTTGTTAACTTTATTTTTGGATTTTGAATATAAATTTTACTTTACAATTCAATCTAAAGGTGATCAGAATCAAGAATTTGACTTATTCTATTGATCGTAAACGGCAAGTCAAACATAGCAACTCGCTAATACTAAATTTTTAATTCAATGATTTTTTTAATTTTTTTTTTTTTTTTTTTTTTGGATACATTCAAAGGACTCTTTATGTTTATATTGGGTGACTCTGACATTCATCTCTCATTTTTGACTTATCCAAAAAGGACACGTCATAGTAGAAAATTGGTAGATTTATATTTTTAGATTTTTTTTATTTTCATAATTTATCCAGGGAACCCGATGAAATTGAATCCGAGTTTATGGAATTTATCCATCGAAGTTTTCAATTGTTACATATCCTCCTTAGGTTGATCTCAGCCTTGGAGTCGGACTTCCCTCTTTGCAATAACATCCATAATAAGTGGCGAATGAGTTTACGCTCTTGCAATTAGTAGACATTTTATCAAAGAAAAGCATGATAATGATCTAATCTATGCTTTGCTCATAACTATAGGTGAACTGTTTGCTGACATTCTCTTCACAATGTTACCAGGCATACTCTCTTAAAAATTATCCAGCAAATTTGGAATGGATGACATTTATTTATTTGTTTGAGGGGGAGTTTGAAATGCCTGCACAATTTTTGCACATTGTTGGGTCTCCACCGCCATATCAATCCCGATACATTTGTAACTATTTTTGCAATTAAATTCTATTCCTGGATTTCATATTTTTCCTATTAGATGCTTTCCTATGATTGTATAATCACTTCTTGTTACCCTTTAGTGCCTCTTCTAATCAATTTTCTTATGGTTCGATCGATTCTTATTAGAGAACTATGAGAACTCTGTCTAACCAAATGAAGCTTCATCACTGTCTTTTGATGGAATATGGCTTGTGTTTCAAGGCGTTTCTGTAGTACTCGAAGAATTTATCATTATCAAATGTTCTATTTTTATATGGTAAATTACATTTTGTAGGTGAGAATTGAAGGAAGTGTTGAGAAGGTCTCTTTTGAAGATTCTGAAAATTACTTTCACAGTCGCCCTCGTGGTAGTCAACTTGGAGCTGTTGTCAGCAAGCAGGTCTATTTTGCACCTTTCTCGCATGTCAATTGGAGTTATTTTTGTGATGGCAAATTAGAAAAAAATTAACGGCATTACTTTTCAGAGCACGCCTGTCGCTGATAGAGAAGTGCTCCATGAAGCTTACAGGGAACTAGATTCTAAATATGCTGGGTTAGTTTGATGGTTAAATTATTCTTACTTATATTGTTTGATATTTTTTACTAGTTGCATTCTTCCTTTTATTTGCTTATGCATAAATTGCGTCAGTTGAGTTGAAGATATACTTAAGTTGTACATTGCAATTCGTTTTTTGAATTATGTTATGCTGGTTCGTACTTAGCAATGAAAGTAATAACTTCTATAGTTGAAGACTCATAAAAAACTATTAAATTGTGAGTAGTCAAGATCTTTAGGGCCCCGTTCTTTGGCATGTATGTAGGCCATGATTGTGGAATTAAATGGACATTTTTTATGTGGTGTATGGTTGAGAGGTTTAGGAGGAGGTTTTTCTTTCCATTTCTATTCACCCTCTCTCCTCATAGTGTCACCTCCAAATTCATAACTTTGCCTAGGGCTGTGAATGAAGTAGTGCACTCAATGAATAACTCAAAGTCTGCTCGATTAATACTTGATCAAGACTATTCATATTAATAAATAAACAAGTTTGAATATTTTAAAAAAAATCTAAGATTAAACGGATCAAACTTGCACACAATCTACCTCGTTTATTTATTAACAAATAACTTGTTAAATACTCAATATTAAGATCAATGATAGGTCGTCTTATATGATATATTATTAAATAAATATTAATTAGTTGGAACTTATTTAATTATATATTTAATAGTAAAATATTAGAATTTAATATTAATATAATTTTATGATTAATTATGAATTACATATTTATTACAGTAATACTTATTTATTAATTTACCCAATTTAGTAAATAATACATCATTATCCACTATATTCAATCCATTGTACTTTTTAATATTAATTAATTTATCATTATATAAATATATATTATCTTTTTATCAATTATATAATCTATATTAAGTATACAATATAATATATCTTTAGACTTTTTGCTCTTCGATAAACCATGTTTTGTTCAACACTCAACAACATCAATCCGTCTTTTCTCCTTCTGTGATTTTGATTTCCTTGTTTCACATGGAATGCTTCTTATATAGGGAAGTATTTATAAATTTTATCTTTAGGTAGTAGATATTATGGTTCATAGGAAAATTAATATCTTATGTATTCAAGAAATTAAATGTGTTCGAGAAAAGACTAAGGAGATTGTTAGCTTAGGCTTTAAACTTTGATATTTAGGTACGAGACGCACTAGAAATGGTATATTTGTAATTATATATAAGAGTTAAAAGATAATATTATAAAAATTAATAGAATTGGAGATATAATTATAACCCTAAAGATTGTTCTTGATACTAAAATTTTGAAGTACTTAATATTGATTATTAGTTCTAGATTTTAAGATGAGGAGTTGTAAGATAAAGAATATAATGAAAAATTATCGTAGAATTAGATTGGGGTGCCTAAAAGACAAATAAAATTATTTTTATGAGTAAACTTTAAGATTTCAAGATTTGTGATGTTCATGAAGTAGTTAATTCTATTTGGGATAAAATAACAAACACTATTAAACAAGTGGTAAAAGATGTACTTGAAAAATCAAAAGAAAAAATTTCTAAATAAAAATAGTTGTTGGTGGAATAATAATGCGCATGAAAAGATAAAATATAAGAAATTATTTTATAATAATTGGTTTAAATATAAAAGCTTAGTGAACTAAAAAAAATATAAGATGGTCCGTGGAGAATCTAAGAGAATAATTTGTGATGCTAAAGGTTCTACTTTTAGTGATCTTTATGATAAATTAGATACTAAAAAGGGTGAAAATTATATGTATAAACTAGTCAAACAAAAAGAAAATAAAAGTAAGGATTTATTTCAAATGCATTAAAAATGAAAATCAAAATGTGTTTTTCTTAGTGGAAGACATTCAACATAGATGACTGAGCTATTTTGATAATTTTTTCAATGAATTTTTTGCAAATACGATCCATTTTAGTGATTTTAATATTGTTAATAATAATAGAACGTTTTATTTTTATCTTCACAGTAGTAAAAAAAGAAGTTGATATGGTTAAAAAAAGCAAGGGTAAAAAATCAGTAAGACCCAATGATATCCCAATTAAGTGTGGAAATATTTAGGAAATTTGGGAATTTCTTGCTTACTGGACTCTTTAATATTATTTTAAAAAATAAAAGATGTCTGAGTAGTGGAGGAAGAGTATTTTGGTCCCTATTTTTATGAATAAAGGGAATGCCCTAGAGTGTGCAAATATTTCTCATAATTTGTTTGGCTTTATGTTGGGCATGTCTACTATGGAAGTTATAGATTTATTAAGAGTTTTGATGAAAAAATACAGAGAGAGTAAAAAGGGTCTACATATGATTTTTATTGATTTAGAAAGAGCTTACGATAATGTTCTAAGAGAAGTCGTTTAGAGAGTTCTAGAGAAGAAATGTGTTGATATGACTTATATTCAAGTCATTAAATATATGTGTACTAGAACTCTTTCACGTTTTAGATATCTCGAGTCTATTGTTCTATGTGATGGTGATATAAATGAGGATGTTACTAGTAGAAATCAAGTTAGTGAAGTGGACGAATACATTGGGCCTATTGTGTGATAGAAAAGTGCCGTTTAGATTTAAAGGAAAGTTTTGTAACATGGTGGTGAGATATGCATTGATTTATGGTGCAGAATGTTGGCATTTAAAAGAGAAATATAAAACAAGTTAAGTGCTATCGAGATGAGAATGCTTAGGTGGATGAGTGGCTTGAACATCAACAATTTGATGATTCGATTAGGAGAGTAGCTCCATTGGCCCAATGAATACATCCGTGATAGGGTTGGTGTAACTCCATTGGTAGACAAGATTAGAAAGTTGTCTTAGATGGTTTGGTCACATTAAATGTCGAGAATTTGATGATCCGCTTAGAATAGTAGATATTTTAGATTCGACTTATGTTAAGAAAGACAGAGATAGACCTTAAAAGACTTGGGCTTATTGTATAAAAAATGATCGTAATCTAGTTGAATTAATTGAAAATATGAAACTCAATAGGTCACAATGGAAAAAAATGATTCATGTAGCCAACCCCACTTAGTGGGATAAAGACTTGTTGTTGTTGTTGTTGTATTTTTTGTGTTTTTTTATTTATTTCTAAATAATTTATTTGTCAATAGTGAATATGCATATTAATTTAATGCAATTATTTTGTATTTCTTTATTTTAATAAACTAGTCTATTTATACTTAATTTTTGTTATTTGTTTGCAAGATAATTTATTTGTGACTTTTATATTATCTTATTCAATCGGTGTGCAATAGTTAGATACTAATTCAAAACTTATTCAATTGCTTATTTGTTTAGATTTATGAAATTATTTATAAATAACTTTATATGGAATATCAAGTGTTTGTTTGAATTTTTAGCTTGTTTGTTAACTCGTTGAAAAAATCATCACATATTATAGGCAAAGCACGTACAAATTAGGCATGATTATTACAAACTTTAAACAAGCTAAGGATATGAAAGCTCAGCTTGAGGTTGAGCCAAAAAATGAACAACTTATAATATGACTCGGCTCGATCACAACCCTAGTTTTGCCAAAACCAGTTGTTTCCAATAGCATTATCTTCGAAGTTGAATTAATGGATGGAGAAAAGAAGGTGCCTTGTATCCGCCTCTCATTCACCAAAGTGTAGAAGCTTCTTTCAATGTGTCGATTCAATTCAAAATAATTAAGATAGTTATTAATATATTGAGATAAATGCCATCTTAATAAAGCTTAAAGGGTGAAAGGATTGTTTTTTCTTTCTTAACATCCAGTAGGTTTCATCTTGTTGAGTTGGCTCCTAATTGATTCAAGTTAATTCATATATCATGTTATGTTTAAGCTAATATAACTCTCCCTCTTTTTCTTTTTTATTTGTGTGAAGATTTTGTTGTAAACACAAAATATCTAAGGCAAAACACTATTTGCAAAGTTGTTTTGTTAACATAAATGTAAGACAACTAAAATGCTTTCTTAAAATTGATTTTTTTTATAAAAAAAAATTGAATACCTTCCTAAGAAAATACTCTTAGCTTTTTGAAAAATGAGTATGCTTGATTTTTAGTCTATTGGCATATACCTATGTTGAGATATCTAATTTAAACTACATGATTTATTGTCTTTCCTGTTTAGACTTATGATAGGAAATAATTTATTCATAGAAAAAGTTATGAGCAATAATTTTTTTCCTTAATATAAGGAGATATTTTCATTTCATATATTAGGAATTATTTATTTTCCTATTTTATATTATTTCTTATTATCTCATAATAATTAATATGAATTAATTATTAAAGATATCAGGTGATATATCTTTCATTTCATATCATTTCATTTTTATTATTTTTTCTATTGTAGGATTCTTGTAAGAGTTATTTATACCCATGTTTACATCAATAAAAGTATTATGAAGTATTCCGCATTATTCTGAATTTCAACATGGTATCATAGCCTAATTTTATACTCTAGTCATCAGCCTTCTTTTGAGAATTGTCGGACTCCCTTCCTGCCATCCTTTGTGCAGGAAGGGAGGGACACTCTTCCTCTCTCCCATTCGACTCGTTCTTTTCCTTTGAAACGAAACTCAAAGGCTCGATCCCGCTCTTGTTTTTGTTATTATCCCCAGCTCTCCCACTCGCTTCCCAGCTACGATTCGGCGCCCGCTCCTCTGTTAACCGCGACAATACATTTCCGGCAAGACAAGTCTACCTGACCTCATCGGAGAAGAGAAAGAGAGGAGTATATCAATCTCCCTTCATCCTTAGAAAATCTGCGATCTCTCCTGGAGAATCAGTCATCTTATATTGCCGAGAGAAATGTAGATCGTTTCCAAATCTATATTTACGTAAGAAACCCTTCTCTTGTTGAGAGTGAGATACATCTTCTTGTCGACTGATGCGGAGATCCTATCTTTACCGGTAAATCAGTGGGTCGGTCATCGCCTTCTAAACTTCATGGTCACCTCCAGTTGGATCACTGTGTTCGCCTTTTTCACCGTCCTTGAAAAGCTTTGCTTGGC